ATGAATGTCTAGAAGCTACGCCATCGGTTCGTAAATCTATGGCGGGAGACCTTGTACTGAGAAGAACCGGCAAGAAACTCAGCAAGGACTGTTTTATTCTCCCTGTTTTACCATTTGCAGAGTTGTCAAGTTAAAAAACGACTTGAGAGATGATTGATGAAGTCACCTTTCATTACATAATGTGAAATTATACATTAATTGTTCACCTCCATTTTGATTGCTGTGTCAGGTTAGCTCAGCGTACTGATGGACATTGGGGTCCAAGGTGTTTCAATGGCGACCTTACACCTGGAATTACAGTGTCCGTAGACCCCTCACCTGACGATGGACTGATGACATCAAGCGAGTCGGGGAGATCCACTGGATGCGGAAAGCGCAGGATCGTTTTGTATGAAAATCCCTTGACTTAGTTTTAACCTATGTCGAGCAGGAGACGTCATCGGCTGATGATGATTGGTTTACATATAATTTTCGAAGGAAAAAATATGCTTTCTCTTACAATCATATAACAGGGTCCAGACCATGTACGATCGAACCAACAGATTCTTCACCCACTTGCCCTATATTTCGCTTAAAAATGTCAAAAGGACAAGTTTTCCCTTGAACGATTGATTCGGCTGCGATTGTTGAAACAACTTTCACAGAGGTCCGTCGTTGGATGGGTGACCAAAAAGTTTCTCTCGAGCTCCTCCGTGCTTCGGAAGCCACGTTAAGCCGTTGGTTCCAGCTGCATCTGCAGTCGTCAGCCCCACCAATCCGCACTGAGCCAACGTGGCGGGTCATGGTCCAATCTCCCTATTCTATCCATAGGGAAGCCCTGTGCCCCAGCAGTGGGGATATTAACAGGCTGATGATGATGGATATTACCTATGATGCTCATCATTGTAAAGTGAGTTACCCGCCACCTTTGTGGCCTAACGCAATCAATGACGAGTCGCGGCAAAGGTTGTTGCCACACTGAGGCACGTGCGCGTTTTTTTGCCGCTAGAAAGTTTGGAAACGAGCAGTTTTTTTTTAATTTTAATTTTTTTTGTTACCGTTAGCTAGACCGGAAAGAAAACGGGTCGGAATTTGAGTAAAAATCGTCAATCGTTTTTGTAGTCGCTTCGTCATTTAGGCTTACTTGCGCTTATGCCAAGAACTATGAATGTTAATGCAATGATTTAGTTTCATTAATGTTGCTATGCTATCGTAAAATACTGAGCGCACCAAAACTTAAATTTAAATTAACTTTAAACATTTAACACAAAGGTTACAAGCATGACATTGGTATGACATGGCATAACATAAGCATAAATAACAAGCGAATGAGTTCGCAAAACTCATGTTTGCGTCAATGGTTAAACGAAGATTAAACGTATTTTGATAAAATTTTGCACAGGCAATACTTCGCATCTCAATGCGAGATACTTTTCATCGTGCAAAATATAAGGTTCCTGTGGAATTTCCAAAAAGCGGAAGAAGTCGACAGCGGAAGTTAGTTGATGATGTAAATGATGATTGTATAAATTTTGACCGCTACAATGTTGTCCGTACCTAAAAGATTTTTTGTCAAGAATACGCTAAAGAGAAACTTCTGTGCGTTAATCTCAGAAATAAACAACTAGCTATTGCGTAAAAATCTCCAAGTACTTAAAAGTAAAAAGTTCGGTGACAATAAAGTTAAATAATAATAAAAAATAGTGTTCACGGACCACACATTTGAAGTAACCTAACATTAGGCGGCATCACTCATTTATATTTACATATACAGTAGAACCCGTTTAATACGATCACGCTTAATACGATTTCTCGCATAAAGGGGCCCATATACGGAACGATTGATCTGTACGATCCGTCGTTTCAGACCGATCGAAACGATGGATCGACAGTGTATGTCAAGATCGTTAACGATTTACTTAATCGCAGACGATATCGGAGATCGCAACAAAAACCCATGCAATCATGAATATCGTAAACGATCGATCGTCAGTGTCCCATATACGGTACGATTGATCTGTACGATCCGTCGTTTCAGACCGATCGAAACGATGGACCGACAGTGTATGTCAAGATCGTTAACGATTTATTTAATCGAAGACGATATCGCAAATCGCAACCAAATCCCATGCAATCATGAATATCGTAAACGATCGATCGACAGTGTTTCGTGTATGTAGTGGCATTTCTGAACGATCGATCGTTGACGATTTCCTTCAGATCGATCGCAACGACTTATCGTTCCGTATATGGGGCCCTTAATACGCCATTTTGCGTCAGTCCCTGCAACTTGAGACATGTTTTCATACATTTTTGAACGCTTAATACGATTCGTCATCCCGTATAATACGTCTTAATCGCCAACACGCACCACACATCCACACATATTATAACCTCTTGCGGCAGCGGCCAGCGATTGACGTGCCGACTGCCGAGCGACGCTCGCTAAGCGACCCCCAGGGTTTTCCTGAATATTCTTTCATTGATGACAATGTGGCACCGTACGAAATTTAATCAATTGAAGATCAAATTGAGAATGTGAATAACACACAAGAGGAGGCCCTAAGTGATCAAAAGAAGATAAGTCAACTCCGATTGTGTCACACGCTCAGGCATTAACAGCAGTTAATGATTCACTTCTTTGAATCAAAGCGAAGACGCACTGAAAAAGTTAAATTACGTTGAAAATCTTAAAATTGCTAATACCTCAAAATCTTTTTGAGAAAACTAAAATAAGTAATTAATATAAATACAAACGTAATAATAATAGACTACATTTTTTATAACGAACATAATTCTTAAATATTGTACATTTAATACCTCAATACCTACATTCGAAATATCCCTATCTCGCAATTTCGCATAATACGCTTTCCCGCTTAAGACGCGTTTTTGGTTCAGTCCCTGTGAAATCGTCTTAAACGGGTTTAACTGTATATATTTTGTAGCGCGTGACGCTCCTAGCGTTTCAGCCTTCGCCGAGTTGTCCTCCAACATTCATGCTCGTCGGGAAGAGTTCCGCACGAATTCCACACATAAACCCACATACATTTCCGTTTCATCTTTACCATAGATTTTTTCCATTTACTCCCCATCCGATAATAAGTTTCACTTCAATAAATAATGGAAGTAAAAAGATCTGACCATAAAGCCTGCATATTACTACTGGGCTTTGCAGGTTTTTGCAATCGTTCACTCCCAATATTGTTAAAGGTTACTGTAAACGTAAAGTTTAATTAATTGCTAATATTTAAATTTCAACCGAACGCGCTAACCACTTGCGCCATCGAGCTCTACGAGCGCGTTCGGCTGCGATCGTTGAAGTTAAGCAACTTTCGCAGTGGTCGGTCATTGGATGGGTGACCAAAAATTACTATCTCGAGCTCCTCCGTGCTTCGGAAGGCACGTTAAGCCGTTGGTCCCGGCTGCATCTGCAGTCGTTAGCACCCACCAATCCGCACTGGGCCCGCGTGGTGAGTCATGGCCCAATCTCCCTATTCCATCCATAGGGAAGGCCTGTGCCCCAGCAGGGGGGACATTAATAGGCTGATGATGATGATGATTTTAATTTTACCGATTCTGTTTTAGAGAGTCGGTTTCTTTTCCTCGTTATTGAAATGGGCACAAAACGTGTTTTTATTTAATATCAATTTGACCAAGCATGACCTATTTGTGTTGTTGTGTTGCGTTAGTTGCTACGCTTCGTTGCAATTATGATAGAATTTCGCTCGATCTGTCGATAACTTGAAACTAGGAAGTAATGAGATATAGATACCCACAGGCTACCTACAGGTGAAAGTTGTCTACGACCCTTGCTTATAAGGAACTTAAATGGATGGATTCAAATGATGAAATTTTGTTGAAATGAAATGAAATTATACTTTACTAGCTGTGCCCGCGGTGCTACCCGCGGTTTATTAGGGATATTTTCCCGCAGTAAAACGTAGCCTATGTGATAATCCAAGGTGTCAGCTAACTCCATACCAAATTTTATTAAAATAGCTCCAGCCGTTTAGACGTGAAGAAGAAACAAACATACACATTCACAAACTTTCGCCTTTATAATATTAGTGTGATTCAAAGACTTATTGACTATACTCTTATTGCTATAAAACTCTTTGGAATCGTCCAATATTTTTCCTACCAGGACCCATTCAGGACATCTTTTAGCTGATGAGAAGAATGGGCGCAAGCTTTCATGGTACAAACATCTACAAAAATATTGGTTTCTTAGGTTTTCACGCACATCACTCATTAAATAAAACTATTTTTTTTTTTTCGCCACAGAATATATACACTACGCAAATTCGCAGCCTTTACAGGCTGCTTCGTCGGAATATTTTTTTTTTAAATTGATTCCGAAGAAGCAGCCTTTTTACAGGCTGCTTCTTCGGAAAGTCAATAAATAAATAAAGTTTCGTGCATTAACCCGTGAAAAACTAGTTTTATCTACAAAAATACGTTTAAGCGGATTAAAAAGTCGAAGCTTTTGAAGTTAATATTTTATATTAAGTATCAATTTAATTGGGTACGCGCCTTTGTAATATCTGTAATATCATCATCGACAGGGATTTTATTGTTTTCATCCTAATTCATCCTCACACTTCAAACCAATTTGGTCAATTCCGCACGTTTTCAAAAGGTATTTTCTCCAGTGTACGAATAAGCTTGTCCAGCTTATGAACTATGTTGAAGTACTCTCAAAGAAATTTTGTTCAAAATAGGTATGTGTTAAGAGATTTTATAGAAACCCGGTCTTTAAAAATCATTTTAAACTCATTTTGATATTTTTTTTTCACTAACATTTTCTTCAGTAAGTATATGCAGTTTAATGCTTTTACCAATTGCTTTGGTATAGGCAATGATTAAAACATTTGCAATAAACCTAGGTAGGTCCCTAACTATACTTTGTAAATTCTACGTAGTTAGGTAGTTACATGTTTTACCATTTCCATACACAAGATAGCACAAAGGCAACTAAAATACCAGCTCTAATCAAATTTATTATTTCGTTGTTACAGATTCGTTTGTAAATAGTCAAGAATGGACAGCATCGAGGGGAGTCACAGAGTTGAGGGTTGGAGTCCTGGGTTCTCCGGACAGCGGAAAATCTGCACTAGTCCATCGTTACCTTACAGGCGCATATATGCAAGAAGAAAGCCCAGAAGGTATTTCTTTTATCTATAAAATACTGACATGAAGATTTTAACACTCTAAAATAGTGTGTTTACTTGTATATTTTAATTACCCGTTCAGTTGGTTCTATACCAGTAGCGCCATCTAGTTGTACTTTTTTGAACCCGAAATAACTAAAGCAGCCACGCAGTGAGAGGGTCGGAAGCATGCTCTTTCTGTATTATGTCGTGACTGGTTTCAATGCAGTTCACTAGAGGGCAGGGCTCGCGATGAAATGTTGATTTTAATTTCGTTCTCTGCGAAAAGGTGGCGCTAATAGTCTTTAAAATTAGTCTCGTGGAAGTTCAGTGAACTACCAGACAAATATCTCCCACGCGATAAATTATTGATAAAGCTATTTAGTATTCGTTCGTTCGGTGAATACAAACCTGTGTTAAATATGAAATGCCTTTAAAGTAAAAGAATTCTCTCTGAGCATTTTCAACGTTAGTCGAATCAATTTTCTTTTGTCTATTTTTCTTTAAATATTTTTATTTCCTGCAATAATGCCACAATTAACATTGTATAAGATTAATAAAGCCGATTAAATTGTCTACTCATGGTCGCGTTAGTGGTCTTATTATATGGATCGATCGTTTGCGCCAAAAATTTCATGCAAAAAACCTCAGGGACGCCCTCTAGTTGAGCCGACCTCCTCAGGTTCGAGAGGTCTAGAGGCTCAAGACGGAGAGGACACTCCCCCCGTGGGGAGATGCCATCCGACTGGAATACACCTCAAGAGGCACTCGCCATTTCTCGGCTTGAGGTTCTTATGGCTTATGTAAAGGTCAACTGCGACCAACAGCATACACACTCAAAAACAATGAAGCAACTGAAAACAATTTATTATATTATTTTCTGGGCGGTTGCTTAAATTCAATATCAAAAGATGAATTTTCGCTTTTTTTCTAATTTGCATTAAAACAATAATAACAAAATTAAAATATTTTAGTTACAATTGGTTTATATTTCCGTTCTTTCTGTTTCAATCTCGACAGTAAATCAAACATCTAGATACAAGTGCCACTACCGCGATAGTTTTTGAGCATAGTTGACAGACAATCAATAATGACTTTTAATATTTTTTTAATTGATAAATGACTTTGAAAATCGTTTTTTAAGCTTGATTTGAAATTTTCATCACATATTTTTTTATTTTATTTTTTACATACAAATTTTGTATTATTGTATTTTATATTTGTCTTATAAATTGGATTGGATATATGTATTTAACGCAATTTCCGACATAATGTAATATTGTTTTCATGGAATAAATGACTAATGACTAATCCTAGCGTGACCGCCGAGCGTAGACATATAAAGTCAAGTACTTAAATGAGATTACCTTCTGTAATGTCTATTTTGTGCATCCTGCCACCAGTGGCGCCAACTGGTGAATTAAATTTTCATTAACATCCTCGTTACAAGTAACTGTACTTAATTTCCGTTTCAGTAAAACATTATTTTAGGGTTCCGTACCTCAAAAGGAAAAAACGGAACCCTTATAGGTTCACTTTGTTGTCCGTCCGTCTGTCTGTCAAGACCGTTTTTCTCAGGAACGCGTGAAGGTATCAAACTGAAATTCATATCTAATACTCAGGTCTCCTGTCCCTTGGAGCTGTGAAAAAATCAAACTTCTAAGCCAAAGCAATCAAAAGATACAACCGTTTATGCCGCAAATTTTCGAAACTCGCACGGGAATCAGAACCTACAGGGTACTTCCCGTGAACTTAGAATCTTGAAATTTGGTACCAAGTAACTTCTTATAGTACAGATAAAGGAAAAATTGCGAAAACCGTAAATTTTTAGTTACATCATATAACATCAAGCAGTTACACGCTTTAAAAAAATAAAAATTATAACTATAATTGCTATTTCTTCTTTCAAATGTTATAATGCGAAGAGATGGCGCTGCCTTGCAGCTTAAGAATCGCTAGAGGAATTTCGACGCGGTCCGTGATGGCCGCGGTAGCATAATTGGTCAGTGCATTCGCTCGGATTGCGAAGGGTGCGGGTTCGAGTCCCGTCTGCTGCCTGGTCCGCGTGGAATTTTTTCTAGTTATTTTTTCTTTAGATACATCATATAATAAAAGTTACTACCACTTTTCTAATGAACGCCTACGCGTCCATTACCTCTACAGGTATTAAATTGAGTTTGTACGGAACTCTCGGTGCGGGAGTCCGACTCGCACTTGGACGGTTTTTTTTCATACGAACTTCGATTAGGTATAATATATTATGTTTTTTTTATCAGTAATTATTTTATTGTGTTTGCCAGGTGGTCGATTCAAGAAGGAGGTCATAATCGACGGACACAGTTATCTGCTCCTCATCAGGGACGAGGGCGGACCGCCAGAAATGCAGGTCAGTTCAAATCAATAAATCAGAAATCAATATATCTTTATCCAAACTTACATCCAATTAGTACAACTCTTTTGAAACGTCCAAATTTTTTTTCCCTACCACTCGTTAATGGATTTTTTTTTAGCTGTTGGTATTTATTTCTTTGTGCGGGATTTACACTACCCAATTTTAAGGAACCCTGACTGAGGGTGGTGTAATGTGAGTTAGGGAGTAAGGGACCCGATCTAGAACGATCAGTGCGGTGTAATAATTGCTTACCCTAGCTCCCTAGCTATAGGCTAAGCAATTATTACACCGCGGTTCCACGCGCGCCCTTTCGATTGGGCCCTTAAAATTAGGTAGTGTAAATCCTGTTTTAGTGTAGACTTATTTCTTTTCTTTATTAGTATTACCCAATGGGATGGTACAGTTTATTGTCATCGATATTAATTGGAAGATGTACTAAACTTACCATAATAGTCTTTCTAGCATACAGGTACCTTCCTTGGTAAAAAATCTTTACCGGTTTTCAAGTCTTCAACCCATAGACAGATGACAGGCCTTGCTCTATTCTTACAGCATCTACTTACAATGTACAAAAAAAATCTTATCTTAACTTACTTCTTAGGGTTCCGTACTCAGGATAGACAAGGGAAATCTGTTACCATGGATCAAATTTGTTCATGCTATTACTGAGCCGCCGTCCATCTGTCCATCTATCAGCGGACAGTGGTAGACAGCTAGAATTCTTGCCTTGGGTCTTATTACAAAACCTAGACTAAAGTTAAATCTGGACTTAAACAGATGCTGTCACATTAGTTTGCTAAAGAGACGACAAAGAAAACATTAGGTTTAAATCAAAACTAACTTAAGTCCGCGTTTTAGAATAACGTTTGATCTTGTTAAATAGTACGTACCATGGACTTATTATACGTCCATGGTACGGAACTTTTCGTGTACGAGTCTGAAACATAGCTACGCTATGGTCGATGTTTTTGAATTTGGAACGAAACGATAACAATCATCAACCAATCACGTAGATACGCACGGTGCGCACGACTCTTCAGAATCGATAACAATGAAATATTCATTGTTTCAATCATAAGAGAGTATACGGTCGCGTGTGTCGAGGGAATCGGTTTTTTTTCTATTTTATTGGTCGCATCGCATCCATCGGTTAGTACGCGTGTATTAGGGAAATAGGTACCTATTATCGGGAATTGAAGTATGCGTTCCCATTGTATGCAAATCTATAAGAATAAGATTGAAAATATATTATAATATTTGTTTAGTACGCGTTGGACCCTCAAGATTCGACACGAAAGCAAAAAATGCAAATTAGACCTCTTTTTTGGTGACCACTGGACCTTATTTGTATACCCCATTCGACCTACAAACGACATACAGTCTCGATAGTTAAAGTAATTATAACGGTTGGTGGAGGTGGTTTGCTGAACCAACCTCTACCAACCAGTTAAATAAAAATATCGGAATTCAATAATAACATGTTGTATTATGACAAAACAAACAGAAAATCAAAGTACGGCATTATAAAAATATGACACTGACATATAAAACGAAAGTCTAATGGTAGCTATACACACTACGAGAAATCGTTACGATTAGACTGTACCGTCCGAACGGTACCGATAAATCGTAGCGTGTATGTTATGGTAGACATACACACTACGAGAAATCGTTACGATTAGACTGTACAATCCGAACGGTACCGATAAATCGTAGCGTGTATGTTATAAAACTGCAGTTTCCTATACCTACGCCACGTACGATTAACTGTTCCGTTCGAACTGTACATTCTGATCGTAACGATTTCTCGTAGTGTATATGGCTACCATTATAAAACTGCACAGTTTCCTATACGATATATATATATATATATATATATATATATATATATATATATATATATATCGTATAGGAAACTGTGCAGATATATATATATATATATTTGCCAGGTACGATAAACTGTTCCGTTCGAACTGTACAGTCTGATCGTAACGATTTCTCGTAGTGTGTATGGCTACCATAACAGCAATGCTGCATTATTACGGCGAAGATATTTTGGGTATGTTGTAGTCGGTAGCAGGTTGGTTGGTCCACGAGATCTTTAGTCACTGTTGTTGGTGAAGCCGAATGCGGTAAAATATATCTGGTGGGGTCGAAACCCCGGAGAGTGGACTGTAAGTGTTGGTTCGAAATATTAAGGGGGTTTGGTTTATGGGATAGGATGAGGACAATAACACTGTGCTTACTTACGGAGGGCCTCGACGGTGGCGCTGGCTCATACGTCAGCTTCTCCTGCAGCAGTCTCTTCCGCTGCCAGCGGTTAAAGATGGCGGTCAAGAAAGTCGTTGATAGCTATCACACACAAAACCTCCTATTTTCGGCGAAACCTGTTCATTTAATTATGATTGTATATTAATCTTCACACACTTCTTTAACCGAGTCTAATGCGGAAAAATATAATCACAATTCTTGCGGAGCGATGAAAAATTCGACCATTTCGTATTTACGCGGTGACAGAACTTTCTTTTTTTGATGCGGTGACAGCCTGCTGACAGAGCCATTTCCTTCCGGCCATCCGTCGTTGCAGGCAAAAATATTGCGTCTTCTTCCCTCATAAGCATAAGGCACAGTGTTTGAAGGAGAAGGATCTATTGGGATGCGGTTATTTCGAAAAGAGAATGACACGGTATGCAATTTAGAGATTAGAATATGTTTTGGCGTTACCATTTCTATACCATTTCTGAGTGCATCTCACTAGGAGACGCTCGATTGTGTAGTAGATAGCGCGGTCCACGGAACGGACATATAGTTCAATTGGTTCTCGAAATTGTACTTACCAATTTCGAGAACGAGGTAACCCGGTGAATTCAACTCGGCTGGACCGCGTTTGGGAAAATACGCACGTCTTCTTGTACGAAATATCTCAGTGCCTGAAGTCCAAGGTCTTCGAACAGTGAGTGTTGCCAGAGACGACATACGGAGGTGAGACATGGTCGTTGACTATGGGCCTCATAAGAAGGCTCAGAGTCGCACAGCGAGCGAAGGATGATCTGTATTTCTTTGCGTGATCGATTCAGGAATGGGGAAATCCGTAGACTAACTAGAAGAACTGACATAGCTCCACGGATCACCAATTGCCACCTCGGGGCAATAGTTGGGGCACATAGTTTGGCGAACGTTGGACGTTGAGTCCCAAGGTGCTTCAATGGTGACCTCGCACCGGGAAGCGCAGTGTCGCTAGACTCCTCACCAAGTTGACTGACGACATTAAGCGTGTCGGGAGGCCCCACTGGATGCGGAAAGCGCAGGATCGTTGTCTCTGAAAATCCCTTGAGGAAGCTTCGATATCCAGCAGTGGATGTCCATCTGCTGATGATGATAATGATAACGGAACAGAATTGTCTGTACTGTGGCGCGATCGTGGTACAAAGCCTGTGGCCTGTTATCGGATGGATGACCAAAATTATTGTGCCCTTGGCACTTCACTTGGCACACCGAGCTCGAGTAGGCTTTATGTATTGTATTTATGTAAATGTGTTTATTATATACTTATGTGTTACTATATGTTTATATATATTTATATATAAATGCACTCTTTTATTTATTGCTTGTGGGGTGCACTTCGCATGGTTGTTTTTTTGGTTTTGACCTCCAGAATACCAGCGCTGACACAGTGAGAAAGTACTTCCTCACTGTGTCAGCATAAGCTGAGGCAGGGTCCTGATTGGCTATCTTAGATTTTTATGTTCTTTTTTATTTTTTGTTTCCTTAGGTTAAGTTTTCTTGTATTTCATTTTTTATTTTATTGTTGTATTTATAAGTTTTTCTTTTGTTAAGATGGCCAATAAAAGGTTTCATTTCATTTCATTTACCTTGTAAGGCACGTTAAACCGTTGGTCCCGGTTGCATTTGCAGTTGTTAGTATTTTTATTCAGTGGCGGCGCTAGGCGTCGGCGACGTCGGCCATCGCCGACGGCCTCGCGCCTGAGGGGGCCTCGCAAAAATATTTTACAAGTTACCTATTTATTTTCGTTTCTCCGGGCCTGGCTTAGGTAGCCGACCCCGAACAATTCGGGGAAAAAGCTAAGCAGATGATAATGACTTTTATTAATTTCGAACACGTGCGTGATGGAAGCGAGTAGTACCTTACGGGTATTCAGAATCGTCTGTCTGGCAACACTATGAATCAACAATAAAACTCGTTTACTCATACGTTATTTTATAATTTGGCTCACTTATTTTAACGGTTTATACTGCGAAGTAAAATAGGCCTCGCGAACTTGATGTCGCCGACGTCCACATGTGGTCTAGCGCCGCCACTATTATTATTATTATTATTATCAGAACTTCGCGCGTCGTCCAACAATGGACCCAGTACAGCACCGACCTGGCTATCGATTCTCGCTATAAAAGGCATCGAACGTTTTAATAGTCCCGCACGTTATTTACGCAGGGCAACCCCGCTCGGTTTTCCGCGCCGTATTTACGCGCCGCTTAACGGTTTTACGATATTTACCGATCATGACATTTTATGACCATGTTACGAAAGGATTAAGCGTTTTACAACGGACGCGTTTGTTTAGGAGTTCGATTGGTGTACATGTAAGGTTGTGGTTATATCTAATTAAGCTTAAATATTTGTAGTTTTCACTGAAAACAGAATGAGGTGAGAAGGGTCTTGTGGGCGGGGCAGACGCGCCACAGTTGTGTGAGCAAATGCTCATATAGAGGAGCTCGATGGCGCAGATGTTTAGCGCGTTCGGCTGCGATCGTTGTAGTTAAGCAACTTTCGCAGTGGTCGGTCATTGGATGGGTGACCAAAAATTTCTATCTCGAGTTCCTCCGTGCTTCGGAAGGCACGTTAAACCGTTGGTCCCGGTTGCAACTGCAGTCGTTAGCACCCGCCAATCCGCACTGGGCCCGCGTGGTGGGTCATGGCCCAATCTCCCTATTCCATCCATAGGGAAGGCCTGTGCCCCAGCAGTGGGGACATT